TCTCCTGAACCAGGTACGTTTCTGTGCTCCGTGGCTCACTCTGACCAGTAGGCTGCTTACCTTCTTTATATATCTCTCCTCCCAATCGGACACTTGTTGGGCCTTTCATACACGAGGCCGTGGGGTTTCCATTTCAAGTACTGGCCGAGCTGCTGCCTCTCCAGTCTGACTACGATCGGCTGAGCCCGACAAGGCGTGTGCGCAGGCGTACGCAGTGGGGGGGGGGGCTGGGTGCTACAATGCTGGTGCTGGGGATTTTATGTCCTGGCTCCCTGGGTGCAGCAGGGGAGGAACATGATCAGTAGCTACACCTCCCTTCAGACACGTATCCTTCATCCCTTGCCCCACTTGGAGGTTTGCTTGTTTTCACAAGGTGCTCTTTCAAAGGATGATCAGATGATGCTTCACTAAATTCTTAAAAGATGAAATCTTGACTGCGGGGGGAAAGGTGGTAGGGGCAGGTCTAGGATAGGAAGTGCCCCAATGGAGAGGGGATGAGGGGAGAAGAAGGGGTGGGAGGTGAGAGAAGGCACCACAGTTGGCAGGGAAATAAAGGCAGACGCCAGCAACTTGCTGGTCTTCCCACATCACAAGAGAACCTGCAGCTCACGTCAGTGACGTGACCCTGAAAGTGTGACCTGGCTGCTTCCCTGCTTCAAGCTCCGTGGGTCTTTACCATCCCTGAATGACGTACGATTCCTCGGGCGCAGCTCCCCTGAGCACGTGTCCCTACCACACACTGTGCTTACTGCTCTCTGCCTTCCAGGCCTCTGAGCCTTTCTACGTGCTCTTCCCAGTTCCCCGAGAGCACACCCCCAAGAAAGCAAAAAAAATCGCTTTCTTGGCCAGTTTTTCTCAGAGGGGCTCTTTCCAACCACACATGTCCCCTAAGGTAAGAACCCAGACAAGAGATGCCATCTCTGTGGATAATACAAATGACCCCAATAATACACCTCAAATAATACCACCCAGGCAGACTGGCATGGCTTAATTCAGAAGGCATTCTTCTCCAAAGTCTTCTTGGACCCATTTAGGGTGGTGAAGGGTTTTCCTCTGGAGAAACCCTGCTGAAGCTCTCAGATCACTCAGTTATTGACTGTCTGCCTGCCTCTCCTCAGAGATGCCACCACACGACGTCCACGAGGACGGGCACCGGGTCTTTGCTATGTTTGTATCTTTTAGTGCTCAGCGCACAGACGCCTGCACAATGAAGTGATTCTGGGGACAAGTTTAAAAAGGTGGCAAACCAGCAGGCCGCAGTGCCGGCTGCGCAGCCGAGGGGTGGTCACCAGCCTCTCTTGCTTCCTGGTGTCTGCACCCACCTCACCTTCCACCTCTTTCTCGTCCTTACTAACAGCATAGTCCACATAGTATTCCAAAGACTTCTTGATTCATAGGCTTCTCCAAAGTGATCAGTCTTTGGTGGTTCAAAGATTAAATGCTTTGAAGATACCACAGAAGAAAAAAAATCGCTTTCTTGGCCAGTTTTTCTCAGAGGGGCTCTTTCCAACCACACATGTCCCCTAAGGTAAGAACCCAGACAAGAGATGCCATCTCTGTGGATAATACAAATGACCCCAATAATACACCTCAAATAATACCACCTTCCCAGGCCCTCTGCTCAAGGATCTAGGTATTTCACAGTATTCTGATGGCTAGAGTTCTTTCTGGTTTGTCTTTGCAGATTGGTGCTTCTTAAGGTGAGGTCCCCCGAGCAGGGGCATCAGCACCAGCCGGGAACTTGCTACAAATAAACATTCTCAGACCCTGCCCCAGACCTGCTGAATCAGAAATGCTGGGAGCAAGGCCCAGGAATCTGTGTGAATCACCTCCATTTGCTGATGATGTACACTAAAGTTTGAGAACCACTGTTTTAGGCCTTAACGAGACCACGGTACAGTCTCTTACAACGCCTCGTTATTTAAAGTAAATACTTCTGCAAGGAAGATGGAACACAGACGCATAAGGATATTGACCTTTCCTTCCAGGCAGTACTATCTAGGTGAACTTTCTGCAATAGTGGAAACACTCTACGCCTGTTAATATGGAAGCTACTGGCCACACGTGGCTCTGGGCATTTGAAATATGGTTAGTGGGAATGAAGAATTGAGTTTTTAAGTTTACTTAGTTTAAATACCTAAATGTGCCTGCTGGCTACCATACTGGACAGTGCAGTTCTAGAAGGTAACTCAACTACAGAACCATATTCAACCCAGATCCTAAAATCACAGCAATAAAAATCTTTTAATACATTATCTTAGACTCTGTCATCTGTAAAATGAAAGGCACCTATTCGCCGATTTATTCATACAAATCTTTATTGTTTATCTAAAATTTACTCTATCAAATTAATGTTTTGAAACTTTTTTGAAGCCGTTTAAAGCATTATGTAAAGTAGTATTACTTATTTTTTCTATATAATCTTGATAAGGCTTTAGACATATGGTTCGATCTGATTTGATCTGTGATAAATTAGGATTCTGGGGGCAGTAAACCACGTTGTCATTGTGTGCCTTGTAATGTATCTTTTAAGATTTAAAGAAAAAGGATACACATAATAGAAGCCAACTTCAAAAACTGCCAAGAGGATTTCTCTTTGTGGCTACACAAATCTTTCAGACTGCTCTGTTTTATACCACGTTCTGTTTAGGTAGATAAGGAGTCTCATTTTCCAAAACAAATACATATTTTTATTCTGCTACCTAAACAAGAATGGCCTACCCACAGCTGTCCATCATTAATGAGTTTGTATACAAAATGGTTATACAAACTCATTAATGAGTTTGTATACAAAATGGTCTAGATTATAGAAAGACTATGATCAATTTTTTAAAAATTTTATTTTAAATATGGCCATTAACAGTTCGGCCAAATCCAGACTGTCCTTGAACAAATAAGGGCTCCTGTCCGAATGTGCACTCATAATTTTTGAGGCCTTTTGCAAAGCTCTCTCTCTGGCCTCCGGGGATGCAACTCTAGCCTACACACGCCGAGGCTCCACCGTTTCACAAGGAAATTGCCTGGAAGTGTGACTCGGGCCTCTGGCCCTCAGCAAGACCCTGCACAACAGTGGTGACCAAGTTCTCCACGGCCCTGGACTGGCCTGTCCTTACCAGCCTCCTGTGACACCCGTCCCTGAGGCTCTAATACTCGGCCCTGTCTAGGACTCCCCAGAGAGAAAAGGTAGTTTTGGTGCCTGTTTCTTTGTGCTAGGTTTGAGGAAGCTGAATAGGGCCCGGGCGCTCCTGGCGGGCACGGGCGTCTCCACCAGACAGACGGCGGCGCAGCGCAGGCTTCCGGCTGCTGAGGCAGAGCTCCGTCCTTGAAGAGGGAGCATGCCAGAGCCCGCAGTGCCCAGGGGCCACTTTCTTTCATGGTCTCTGCCCCGAACGTCTGAACCATCACTATGGAGGTTTGGAGGGGGACAGGAGGGAGGACAGAAGGAATCCGGGTCAGGTCAGGCTTGGGCTGGAGCAGACCTGGGGAGGAGGAGTGTGACGGGCTGGCGGTGTGCTCTGTGAATGTAACCATGCACCCGGGCGGAAACTCCGCATCCACAGGCCCAGGGACGCCAAGCCCAGGCTTTCCCCTCCCCTGCACCCACAGACCCCAGCACTGCTTCCCGCCAAGCCCGGAGGCCCTGGCCAGGGAACGAGACTGACTGGCTCAGAGTTTGCAAACCAAACAAAATCTGACCCTTCCTGGCCTGGGTTAGGCCCCACAGTAGGAAGGAGGATCCTGAATAATGACAGCAGCACTGTGGACCCTGAGTCGAGCCCTTACCATGGTCTAGCACTTTAAATATAACACACGTTTCTTCCTTACAGTGACTCCAGGAGCGGAGGCCACGACTAGCCCCGTGTGGGGGTTGGGGAGACGGGGACTGAAAGAGGCCCCGTCTGGCTGCGAAGGGCACCCGGCCGGTTAGGGTGGACTTGGGCTCCCACTCTGGGCACTCCAGACACTCTGCTGATACTGCCTCCCTCCCACACAACGCAACTCTGCTTTTAGGTTCATCTCAGCACAAACGAGCACAGAAGTTTTAGAATATTACCTTTGTAGATTCATTAAAATCCGACATTTACAGGATATTAAAACCATTCTAAGAGACAATCATGGTATAGGTGTAATCACATTTGTAAGTTTGCCAAATCAGAGTATATAAGAGCTTTTATGAAAAGTTTCAGAAATGTGGCTTACAGGGTAATGGTTTATGGTCAACTGCCTTTTGATCTCTCATGTGAAAAATATGTACTTACATATATTGCAGGAAACCTCACCACTTCCTTCCTAAGTGTTGGTCAAAAACACTAATTACTTGACTAATTAGACTGTGAAACTTCCCTTACAGATGGTAAAAATGAGCTATTTCCACCCCACAAATTTAGTTGTGACACACCACTAAAAAAATGTAGAAATCTTTCAATGGTTTTATTGTAGACAGCATGAACAATTTAAGCAAATCATATAAAAATAAATTAGAAACTAATGAAAATAATCTGTTTTTTCATAAGAGGGAGAAATAACTCTCAGTTCTATGGAAGCAAAGAGTGAACGAACCAAGGAGGCCTGCCAACGAGGTGACCTCCCTTTGACAGCAGACTGGAAGCCAGGTCCACATGCCTCCTCTATGAACTGGGACATCCCAGTGAACTGGTCGGTCCTAACTTTATTTATGATTTTCATGGTTTTCAGGTACTTTCCTTTAAATCTACCTGTGGTCACAGACTGAGGCTGCACTGCTTCCTTTCATTTCCCTATGTTTTCTTTCAGACATTCCCATCAAGAGAAAGCATACGCCACGTTCACCTGCTAGCCACAATGACACGGACTGCCATGAGCTCTGCACGCACAGTATTTCAGAATGCCACAGCGGCACGTTGGCCAAAAGAATCAGTATGGAATAAAATGGAATCTAAGCAAGTACTGCAGCTCAGGGAAGGAAACACCTCCTTGACGCCTGGGTGCTCACACGAGATTCCACACCACGGGACACTCACCAGCATCCAGGCTGCCCGTGGCCGCTGTCCAGCCCATGACAGGCGGGATGGCCCCAACCACGGCTCCGACCCACGTATTGGCAATGCTGATCCTCTTCAGTGGTGTATAACAGCAGGTATACAGGAAAATGTTGAAGACTCCCAGGGCTCCTGTGAGTGGATTTACCCCCCAGGTCAGAAGGGCAACTCCTGGGACAGCACAACAAGTGGCAAAGGACACAGCCAGCAGCGGGCTGGAAAAGAGCAGAGAACACCAAGCCATCATTTTCAGCTCAAGCTAATCAAACGGCTGAGAATCAATCGAAGACAATGAAGTACGAATAATCTACCTGGTCAGGAAAGCAACTTCTTCCTTGTTGTGGAAATCCTCTTTACAAAACTTAGAGCAAGGAAGGGTTGTGTTTTCGGAGCTCTGGATGCTACTCTTAATTTTGCCAGCCTGGAGTAAAGGACGTAGTAGCTCAGGGTGCCCTGGATTTGAACACAGGTTCTGTCCCTTCCTGGCTGTGAGACTGCCAAGACTTCACTCTCATCTCTACAACAGGGATTATTAATACTCTTCCTTGCAGGGTTGATGTAAGGACTGAGAAAATGCCTACTTTGCATGGTGTTCCACTTTATAGTTAATGATAAGTAAGAGATAGTCTGGAATAAACAATTTATAACACAATACACAATACTACAAGATTCAGACAAAAAATAGTATTTTAATTCTGAAAGCAGTTCTATCTATTTATTTATGCTTTATTTTAAAACATCACCTGATTAGCAATAATGAATAACAAAGGTCTGCCTCAGTGGGCGCCACCATCACAATATCTGCAAGAGATCAGAGGCGTGGCGCGGCACCGGCTCCAGACCGCAGTGAACACCCGGTGTAACTGGGTTTACGGACTTGAGACTTTCAAGAGGAGGTCTCACAATACTACACCTGTAAATGAAAACTGTCAACTAAAACTCTACAGTGATATTGATGATTATAAGCCTGTTTCTCCAAGAGCCCACTTTTTAAAGTAGACTTTATATGGAACTTGTGAAAGACTTTTTGAGAGCCTACATAAATTGGATCTACTAGTTCCTGCTTACGTGCATGTTTATTTATTCTTTCTTAAGAAACCTAAGGAGGTTATGCAAGTCTGCTTTCTCCTTGCAGAAGCTGTAATTCCACCTCTGAGTAAAGCATGTTTGTGTAGTGTTCATGGACCCCATTCAATTACAGATTCCACAACGTGCTTCTTGGGAAGCAAGAGTCACCAGTGGGCAGCTTCTAGGGTGCTCTGGTTTTAGCAACAGCCAACTCCCTGAGGGAGGCAATCTTTACCCAGCATGCACACATGTGAGATAATCCTCTTCTATTCACAGGGCTGCAGTGTTCCCACAGCAGGAGAGAAGCCCTGTGTCTATGGAGCTGCCCCTCCGGAAACACTGACTTGTAGAATTATGACGAGTTAGAATTCAGCTGCAGGGCGCGGGGGAGCAGGAGGGCCCAGCAGCTAAAATACAGTACCAGGTGATGTCAGGGCGACAGAACATGAAGGCTGGAAGGAACCTGATGGAAGATCTCGGCTCCCACTCTGTATGAGGCCAGCACCGACTCTCCTCCCGGGCCCCCTGTGACCTCTCTGCCTGAAGATGGGACCCAGAAGAATGGGAGTTTTGATGGAAAAAGAACACACAAGGGATATGTTGCCGTCGAGGTGCCTGTGACAGAAGAACCATGACCTACAGCTGAGAGATTTCTTAGTGCACGTCCCACCCTGAGGGTGAGTTTCCACTTACCTGTCCCTGGGCCAGCTCTTCTGAACACCATGGTCAACTACTGCCACAACACTCACTTGCCCCCTTCATCTGTCATTCTGCTTTGTCCTTCCATCATTCTCTCCCTGACATTTCCCATTTCTGAATCTGCTCAATGACCCCCCATCTCTGCTCCAGCTGGGGAAAGCCCTACAATCATACCAGCTGGCCCGTTTGGAGAGGATGGCTTAACAAACAGTGTGGTGCTTGGTTGGAGCTGACTTCCACTCTCATTCCTTGTAGTGACAGTTTTAACTCCTCCCTCACTTCCTCAAGGCTCCAGCTTCACTCTAGCTCCCCATACCCTGCAGCTGATGTCCTTCCCTCTTACACTACACTGTCAAATACCCTCAGATTTACTTCCTTCCTTTTCTCCCATTTCAGGAAAAAAGGCTATCTTCTTTGTTTTCAAAGATAAACTCTCCACTTAGGCCCTTATTTAATCTCCCAAATCTCTCTATCTTCTATCTCTACTGTCTACTGACCTGCATTCTCAAATAAATTACTTTGTTCATATCTCCCTAAAGGCAGCACAACTCTTGCTTCAACACCCTTCAAAGCCAAACATCTGATGGAGTCGACTAGACACATTCCTTGTCTCTATTTCTTTTATCCTTCAGTTTCCCATTTGCTCCTCAACACCTACTGGAACAGATTTCTCCAAGGTGGGCACATGCACCATGTGCCCCGGGAACACCTAGCTTCCCAGTATGGCAGACAATACAACTTTCTAAATCAAAGTTCAAAAGATGCCTCTGTGTCGCTGGATCTCATGCATGCCCAAGAAGAAGAGTTTAGATGGTTATCCAGAGTACAAATATTCTATCTGTTGTTCTTCTTTCAATAAGGTGGTTCATAGCTTGCAAGAACAGAGTTGGTTTTTTTTTTTTGACCTATGAGCCTCTAAAAAGCTAGCTTTGAGTAGGACAAAAATGTGGCTGATAAACATTTTTATTTTTTCTGAATTGGTCCTTGTGTGGAACAAAAAAAAAAAAAAAAAGGAAGGTTGTTCATTCTTTCTCCAAGGTCTGTGGAAGCCAGTTGGATTCAAAGGTATTAGTGTTATGAAAAGCCCTTTTAGAAAAGCACACATGAATTTAATTTATTGAGATAGGCAATTTTATGTGGAAGTTTAGTTTCTGACCCCTATTGAAATCACAGAAAATCATGAGGCTCAATTTTGGTGTTTAAATCAACATGCTCAGGGGCATGAATGAAAACTAGGTAGGTTGACAAGCCACATAAACAAAAATGAAGATATTTATCCAGATACCATGACCATTCTCAGGTCATGGAAGCCATCCCCTCCTGGCACAAGAAGTGCCATGGAAATCAAGGGATGTCAGAGCTTTCTTGTGTTATGCAAAGGTACTCCAATTACAAACTGTGTGGAGTTTATTTTCCTGTGATATTTCATTTTTCGTAAAACTTTTATTATAAGAGTAATATATGTTCAAATTCAGAAAATTTGCAACTACAGAAAATCACAAAGAAGAAATTCTAAATTAGTTACTCAGAGAAATATACTGGTTGATGTCTTTCTAGCATTTTTACAGTTATATATCTACTGGAAAAAATAACTGAGAACCTACTAAATCATGGTTTTGTTACCCGCTTTATTTAAATATACGTTGATAATTTCCCCATGTCAGTAAGTACTTCTTTCTTTCTCATTTGTTAGCAGATGGAGTGCCGTTCTGTCCAGCCCGGCTAGAGTGCACGATCAGAGCTCACTGTAACACAGTACTCCTGTCAAGTGATCCTTCCCCTCAGCCTTCTGAATAGTTGGGACTACAGATACGCAACACCACACCTGGCTTATTTTTAAAATTTTTTGTAGAGACAGGGTCTTGCGATGTTGCTCAGGCTGGTGTTGAACTAGTTGATCCTCCAGCTTTGGCCTCCCAAGGTGCTGGAATTACGAGCATAAGCCACCATGCCCAGCCAAGTATTTCTTTCACATCAGCACCATTAATAGTTACATAGTGGCCTATTCTGTGGACACACCACAGTTAATTCAACAACATGCCTTTTTTGGACATTGAGTATTTTTCCATTTTTATTAGAAATAATGTTGGGATGAATATCTTAGGGATGGACTTTTGTTCACAGTTCTCATTAGAATAAATTCTGAGGACAAATTCCCAGATGTGAAACTGCTAAGCCAGGTGATAGACACATTATTTAGGGAGTTTGGCATGCACTGCCAGGCTGTGGTCCAGAGCCTGCACTTGTTTACGCTCCCACCAGCAGCATATGAGAAGGCCTACTTCTGAAACTCGTATTAACACTGGGTATGGCGTTAAAAAGAAAGCAAAACAAAAACCAAAATTTGCCAGCAAAGTAGATGAAAACTAGTATTATGGGCTTCTAAAACAACCTTTAAAATTAACAAAGTAAAACAAGTGTACTGAGATAGCATTATCCCCATTTTACAAATGAGAAACTGAGATTCAATGCAAGTAAAATGATTTGGAAACAGCCTTATTTGTTGGTTCATTAATTTCGTCCAGAGTTTCCCAGCTGGTGTGTGGGGGCACAGGCTACCCCACAGCTCGCTGAGGACTGCAGAGGGCCTGCGCCGCTGGGTCTTTGCTCTGGCTGCTCTCAGCTGGGAGTGGCCTCCTGCATGCTGAACAGCTCCTGCAGTTCCAACATGTACAGGCAGCCTAATGGTCTGCTGCATTCCATGAGATGAAAACAAATGGGGAGCACTAATTTTTTTTTAAAAAGGACAGACCTGGCATGGAGCGTGGTAACCAAGACGCACGGTGTCCTATCCGGCGGGCACCTACGCTGCGGCAGCAGACAGGTCCGCAGGCCAGAGCCATGGAGCGTGTGCAGCGGAGGAGACAGGACAGGGAAGCGCCTGATGCGGTGTGCGCCGCAGGGGGACAAGGCGCATTCTAGGAAGAGCTGTTCAAACTGAGACCCGGACGGGAGAAGGGCAGAAGGGGTGGGCAGCAGTGTTTCCGGCAGCGGGAACAGCACTGAGGCCAAGGGGAGAAGCAAGGCAAGTGTCGGTTCCTGTGTGTGGTGCGGAACGAGGGGGGGTGCCCAGAGAGCACAGGGGTGAGGAGAGCCACAGGGAGGGCCCTCTGGGCAATGCGGAATCGGTAAAGATTTCTCTGGTTTTTAAACAGGGAAGAAAATGATGAGATCTGTTTTTCAGAAGGGTCACTCAGCCTGCCACGTGAGGCTCTGCAAAGATAGATCAGCATTTAAATTTATTTACCTCACAAGTGAAGCTCACAATAGGCATTTTCAAGGAAGAATAATAGTAGGCATGCTGCCACACAACTCTCTCAAACGCTCAGTTGAAAGAAGCAGCCTTCAGCTAGCTTGTACCTTTAATCTATCTTGCAGATTTCCTAAAATGTATTGGTGGAGCAAATCAGATCAGCAAATGGCTCTTTGGTCTGACGACAGGAGGGCA